GGCCAAAATGTTAGTTTGTTGATCAAAATAAAAGAGGAAAATAAAGGAAAGGAGAAGAACGAGAGTGCATGGCAGAAAACTAAATTGCAGAAAGAAAGCGTGATGCTACTACGAAAGCATGAAAATGTAAAAAACGAAATAAAAACTGAAGCGTAAAACTAAACTTAAAAGAAACTAAGAAGATGAATTTTGGGACAAAGAGCAGCAAATTGAATTGCAAAAAAAACTAAATATATTGGGTGGAGATGTTCACAACGAAATAACAAAATTCAGAATTAAAACTAATGGCAGTGTAGAGTTAAAGACTAAATTAAGAAAGCTGTTTAAAAAAACTGGATTTAAACTAAGACATTGCTTGTAAAACTAAAATGTAGATAGCGCTGGACTAATTGTGTGAGAGGTTGGTCTCCTTCACTTCGTTTCTTCTCTGCATACTTATAGCAATAAACATCCCTTTGCAGCATGCTTGGAGATTTGCAACAGCAATCTTGAAAAACTAATGACAGCGTGATATTTGAAACAAACATATTAGTCTATTTGTGTTACCGATTATCCTCTTGAAAGTTCGCAACAAACGAACGACTTTGCTGTAATTGTGAAAATAACCACTCAACTTTATCTAGAGAGATTTACTCCAACTATTTTCAACCAATGAAATTCTTGTCAATATGGATGACACGTGGCACTATTTTATTTTATTTTTTGTAAAAATGGGTGTAAACAATATTTAAAATAAACATCAAAACAGTGGCTTCTCCAAACTTTGCATATGTCATGCTTCAATGTCTCAATCTAAAATCCAATCAGAAAAGGAAGATACCTTGATAAGTGTGTGGTTCTAATGGAAACCCATCTTGTTGTTGTCAAACAGGGCTTAAAGATCAATCAGTGCTATCAATTTCTCAGATGGGGCATCTTGAATTCATTTAAATCACGATAAAGTTGCCAGGTCCACAGAAATTTACTTTCTTGCATGTCTTGTGGTGCAAAATATATGTAAACAATCTACTTAAATGCATACAATCCATGGCTTTTCTTACATTGACAAAATCAGTGTCGGCAGCATATTCGAATTTGAGATAATTCTTCTCTGCCATGGCCCTGCCAGAACTGAAATATTTCCAGACAAACAGAACCACATAATTTTACTAAAATAAGGTTATGTCAGGTTCCGAAATGGCTAGATTATAAGTTGCTGAGCAGATAAAGAACCAGAAGCATGCCGGAGATTGTGAACTCCCCCAAAAATGATTTGTTACAACATGTTTTTCCCTTTTTCTTTAATCTTTAACCCGAGTTCCCTACAAATAGCCAACTGTGATTGCCACTAGAATGAAATCATATCTTACTATCGCTGACATTATATGTTCATCAACATCATGTCACAAAACAGGCATTTAAGTGCATACAATAAAAGCTTGTTAAATAAGAATTAGGCTTTGAAAGTTAACAGATGAGTACATTACAGTCTCATTTTTAGGTAAAGGGTTATCTCCTGTACAAATAATTTGACAGGGGGAATTCAACGCTCCTTGCCACCTGTAAAACATTTGGAAAACAATGAGACAATAAAAGTGTTTAGTTGTACCTGCAGAAAAGTAACAGCTATAACAGCACTCGAGTACAACTATATTTAAATGCTCAAGAGATTACCTTCAGAGCCAAATCTTCAGACACTGTGGAGCGATACCTTGTTGACCCCTCTATTGGACAGCTTCCACCTTTGATGATAAAATTAGCATTGCATAGACTGGATAATTGCAAAAGAACATCAGACATGAGTCCACTACCTCCTCCTTCAATTCTTAGCTCACTAGTTCCTTCTTCACCAAGTGAATCTTCTACAAAGGATGTTATGCACTGAAATATGGCTAACAACCTCTCTAATGGAAAAGTTCCAGGCCCTTTCATAAGTAATTCCTGTTCTGTGATTTCCTCCTGCTCCATTGATTTTACAGAGGCCCTAACCCGAAGAAGTCCACCAATAACCATCAATAAGATCAAATAGAAACACAGAGGGTTAAACAACACTTTGTATATGCATATTTAAGAGCTTTAAGCAATGAAACCATTTTCCACCCTTATGTTAAGAAATTATTCAGATTTCCCTTATATCAGGCCAATAGTTGTTCAGGCATTGCTAAATTATGATACCATATCATGTATCCTAAAATCTGATTAGCCAAAAAAATAAGACACAACGTGCTGCAACTAAAACCTCTACTTTCATCCTAATTTAGGAAAATTCCTTAACATACAATGCAGCAGAAATCTTATCGAGGTATACCCATGTGAGGGACTCTAAAGTGACAGTATTTACTGATCCTAAAATTCCATACACTGAAAAGCTAGAAAGATTTAGTATTAGCTTATTGATGTACTTACTTCCTTTTCCGTTTGCGATTAGAACCTCCTGTTGAATCAAATAACGAATCAAGAGTAGCTGGGTTCCTTGAAGCAAGAAAGGCTGAAATAAGAAGATACTTTGCAGAAGTAGACATGTGGAAATCTGACTTATCAAAATCTTCACGACTTCCTGAGGCCTTTATACTACTTTTCCTCCTTGTCTGCTGGTTGGCTTCATCTTTGAAAGAAGGCTGAGACCGAACTCTGAATGTATCATTCAAAGATGGAACAATATGTGGCTGAATATGTTTAAATAACCTTCTATTCATTTCTTCTTTTGGTACACCTCTCAAATCACTTAAAGGTTCACAATACTTGTTAAACAATGATGAAAAGGCAGTAGATAATTCATCCACTCGTCTAGTGACTCTACAGAAGGGTCTCAGTACAATGCTGCTTTACAAGAAAGAGAAAATAACATTCATTATTCTAACCATATTAAAATAAGAACATCATGGGAGTGGGTAAGCACAAAGAAGAGATACAATTTAAACTCTATATTACTTACTCAAGAAAGGAGGAATAGAGCTTGTGGTCTGCTTGATTTGTCAGAAATATTTGACGAAGATCATCTTCTGTATAGTCAGGAAAGTATACAGGGATGGGATCTATGTAACCCATATTTGAGTAATACGTATCAGGTGAGGAATTGCTAACAAAAATCAGTCCCACCTCAGGCATCTTTAAAATATCTTGGAGATTAAATAAAAAGGGTAAAATAGTAGAACTTTTATCCCATCCTCGAGCAAGCTCCAGATTATCAAAAACCAAATAAATCACATTTCCATTAGGCCGTCCATGACACTTATTGGAGTTCAATTTCCCAGAATTCCTCTTAAGATTATCTATGACATTTACCAAGGCTTCACGAAGAAAATTAACAAAATCAGATGGCTTTTCACACCGCTTGGCACTAGAATAACCATTCCCTGAACTTTTCCTATGAAGCAATAACTGGTTCAATACTGATTCAAACAAAATCCTAGAATTGTAACAGGTAATGCAGCTTGAATACACAAAAGGTCGATTCAGATGCCTGAATACCTGAAGAATTACGCTGGTTTTCCCAGTAGAAACGCCTCCATAGATAAAGACAGGGAAATTTGGGGAATTCAGGGGACCCAAGAGGCGCAAAATCTCAATCATCTGGTTGCGCCTCCCTGGAAAGTTAGATAAAAGATCATCAAGGCTAAGACCGGCCTCTTCCCCAAAGCCGTGTTCGCTGACAGTTGGCTTGTGAGGCTTACTGGCTTTTTCTGATTCATCGACAATGTTGGAGACAGCAGCAGAAGAGGAGGATCTGGTTGTTCTTTTGGGAACTTGGGAACTTTCCTCTTTAGCCATAATTACTCTACTGAAAAACAAGAAAACGCCATTCAGAAACTAAATCCAAAGGTAATTTCAAGAAAACGCCAATAAATTTCTCAATTTCAATCGTCACTTGCTTCTATCACGTAGTTCGATTTTCCGGCCTTTTTCTTTGGACGCAAACAACCATATGGAGTAAGGATCGAAAGCAAAAGACGGAGAAAGATGAAAAGAAGGGTTTACCTGATCGGAATCTGCGGGAAGGAAGAAAATCGCTGGGAAGAAGAAACGAAGGAGTGCCGTCAACTGAAACCCTAGCAATCCGGTTTCGCTGAAGGATGAAGGGAAATGGAGAACATTGGGGAAATTTTCCCGCCAATTTAATTTGGGGGGCAAGTGAAGGGAGGGAGATCCAGTTGTACGGATATTCACATGGGCTCTTTACACTTTTGGGCTTTGAGTTTTGGGCTCTTTACCCCGGTCTTTTGGGTGGGGGGTAGATGGGGCCCAAAGAACTCTTTTTTATTCCTAATTTTTTTTTCTCTTTTATAAGTTATACCCAAACATATACTTCAAAGGTGATTTTCTTAATTTACTAAGTTCTTTTTTTTTTTAAATATAGTTTTGGTTTTGAATTTTTAAAGTGAAGTTATTGTGTTATCATATTATTGAATTAACAAAAAA